AAGATGACCCCGTGGAGGGCTGGTTGAACAGTAGCCAGTGGAGGGCTGGATGAACAGTAGCCCGTGGAGGGGTGGTTGAACAGGAGCCCGTGGAGAGGGCTGGTTGAACAGTAGCCGGTGGAGTAGCGCGCGGTGGAGGTTGGATGAACAGGAGCTCGTGGAAGAACAGTCGCATGTGGAGGCTAGAGGAGGTCGACGGAGGATGAACAGTAGCTCGTGGAGGCTGTAGGAGGTCGACAGTGGAGATGAAGAGTAACTCGCGGAGTCCTGTTTTCCGGTACGCCACACCCCTCCCGATGAACAGGGCCCCTGTTTCGACCGTAGTGCTCCAACACAAGTTCGTTTCCTCTGTTTTGCGGTACGCCACACCCCCCCGATCAACAGGACCCCGTTTCGACCGTAGGAGGTCCAACAGAAGTCTGTTTCCTGCGTTTTGTGGTACACCAGACCCCTCTTGATGAACAGGATCTCGTTTCGACCGTGCTCGGTTGAACACAAAGGTGTTTCCTCCATTCTGTGGTACGCCAGGCCTCATTTCCATCGGATGTTCCATCTAAGCCGGTTGGCTTCCATGCGTTCTGTTGCCTCCCGATGAACATGACGCATTCCGTTGCCTCCCCATGAACACGACGATTATGCAATTTCTCTGTTTCGACCCAGCCATGTACACGAGCCCTGGTCGTACGTATGCTGAGTATGCGTTCAAGACCCCGCCTGTATGTACGTACGTGGCTGTATTTACTTTCTTGAATCCTGGCCGTTGTACGTACGTGTACATGCTATGTGCGCGCCTCTACTACGACACGTGCGCGTCTACATCGACCAGTATGTACGTACACATTCGCGACCAGAATGACAACGCTACGTATGCTTCGACCAGGTGGGTCCCAACTGTCAGACACTTCCTTGTGTGCGAAGATGCAGCTGGTGGGTCCCAGCAGTCAGGGGGGCGAATCGATTTTTTTGCCCGTACGCACTTCCTTGCGTGTGAAGATGTAGCTGATGGGTCCCAGCAGTCAGGGGGGAAACGTTTTTTCGCGATATATGATGGCCGTCCGATGGGTCCCCGCTGTCAGGTGGAGGAATAATTATTTTGCGCGTAATAAGGAGGCACTTCCTTGCGGCTGCCGTGGACCCAGCTGTCAGCCTCTCCACGTACAGTACTCTTCCGATGGAAGTCGGCCATTGACCACATTGACCACACCACGCTGAGAGCACCACGGCGGACGAGGACGAGGCCTAGGAAGGGGACGACGCAGAGCTGGGGAACACGCGGCAGTGGAATCCCGTGCAAAGAGGAGTACGAGGGTTCACTGGTTCGGCTGTGGTGTGAGGCTGCCGTCGCCGCAGAATAACAGGGGGTGTGGGTGAGTAGAGGGATGGCCTGGCCAGGGTGGGAATAGTAGGGGCGATGAGGCCTCCGTGGCATCACAGCCAGCCACGGGAGGCAGGAGCACGCGGCACGACCGACGCTGCTTTGGGTGGCTGGAGCAAGAAGACCAGAGGTTGAAGAAGCACTACGGCCGTTGGATGGACATCGTACGGTCACTGTAGCTAGAATCGTTTATATTGACAAAGTTGACAAAGCCCTTGGTACGCGTCAACTTAGTAGGCCCATGGGCCAGCCTCCGAAACAGTGCGCCCCCGAAGGTAGGGGGAGGAATAATTTTTTGGGCGG